CTGATTCTTTGTCTTTCCTAATTTTCCCACCCACCCATGCTTTCCATACAAGCGAAGACCCAGCTGCCAAAGCACCTCAAGATCGCTGAAAGCACCTGAACTCCCCCGAATGGGCCTCACCTGTCCCTTGTATCTTGGTGCTCCCGCTAGCTAGCCCCTTACCTAACACGCTCACTGTCATTTCTCCCTCCCCTACTACTGGCAGCCACAGTGGTCGAAGGAGGTGGTGAGTGACCCTTAAGGTCTCGCCAGCGGGAAGGTAAAATGGTAGAAACCACTTAGGAAAACAGCTTGGCAGTCTCTTAAGTTAAACATGGAGTTACCACGTGACCCAGCTATTCTACTCCTATGGAAAAATGCCAAGAAAAACGCTGCAAATGAAACCATACGTCCCCACAAAGACTTGTACACAAAGACTTCAGAGCAGCATTATTGGGTCAAAGCCTAAAGTGGAAACAATCCACAAGTCTATCAACAGTGAATGGATAAGCAAAACGTGGTATGTCCATACGACCGGCTAGTCCTAGGCAATAGAAAAGAGCTAACTAGTGGCATGCTGTAACATAAATGCCCCTAAAAACAATGTAAGGGAAGAAGCCAGGTGCCAATGACCACACCCCAAAAGATTCTACTCACATAAAATGTTCAGAAAAGGCAAATCTGTACAGACAGAAAGCAGATTAGTAGTTGTCTGGGGCTAGGAGTGGGAACAGGGATCACCTGCAAATAGGCACAGGGGATCTTTTTGGAATGACAGAAATAGTCTAAAATTTGATTATAGTGATGGTTATACAACTCCGTAAATTTTTCTAAAAATCACTGAATGATAAGGAGCAAATTTTATGGTTTCTAAATTATACCTCAATAAGGCTCTTATAAAAAAAGATCTCACCAGATACATAGTCATCCACAGGGGCCTCTGGGTGTCCCCCACCATTAAGGCATGAGAGAGGATAAGGCTAACAGGGCAGGGGGTACCCACACTGGCTTCCTTGCCTCTGCCAGTCATTTCCGTGTTGGGGCCTGAGGCTCCGGGTGCCATTCGGATCCTCCAGCCTGAGAAGAGCGGAGTGACTGCGACTTGGTGCCACCATGCCCTTCACCTTGAGGTGTAGGCACTCACGTGGGGTAGCACTCAGTACATCCTCCACAGCAAACTCCTGACCTTGTCTAGCCCGACTGAGCCCAGGCTGCACATGGCTGCTCTTCGGAAAACAGTTTTAGGAGCAATCCTAGGAGCAAATCAAGAGTCAGCCTGATTTTGACAACCTAGAGACTTCAGGAACTTTGAGACAGAGGAAAAAAGGGCAGGGGGAGAATAAAGATCGGGTGTAGGATCTCTGCTGAAATTTACTGAATTCACACAAAACCAAGGAAATCTGCCAAGCAAATTGCTGGTACACAAAACATTTCAAAGGGAGTGTTGAACCTACTTAAGAAACACCCATTCCTGATATCCAAGGATAGATATTCTAAGTATAATTTATTCTCACTGAGGCACTAGAGAAAGCCAATGAGATGTCAAATTGCAGCAAACTGTAAACCTAATTCAAATGGCTTTCCTCATCTAACATTGTTGCGACTGAATGTCTTTATAAAGGCTAAGTACCGCTCACAATTATACTGAAGGAGTGAAGTCTTCCACCACATTCATAGAAGTGCTCAATTTTAATCCTTCAAATGTTAATATATATCTAATCTCAGGGCAATTGTTTCTACATTTGGACATTTCACACTAGCAACCACACTCTACACATCTGTAATCTAGACCTCATTACTTGGGGATCCACGACCAAAGGGCCCCGTCACTGAAAGCATTTATTAAGATCATCCCAAGCAAAATGGGAAATTTTGGAAGCAAAAACAAGAACAACTTTCTAAGGACTTCCCATTCCACTTTATATCCAAATAACATGCTAATTATAAGAAATCTTATTATCATTAAAAACCAGTACCGTTTTATTTGAAAATACTGAAAATGGTTTCCTTTCATCCTATCTTACCCTTTCTGATTAATTATAATTAACTTGAGTAGAACGGCCTCTTTTTATATCCTTCACAACAGTGACTCTCAAACTTTTTGATCTCAGGACCCCTTTCTGCTCTTAAAATCTACTGAGGACCTCAAAGAGCTTTTGTTTCTGCAGGTTATATCTACCTATACTTTCTGTACTGGAAATTTAAACTGAGAGCATTTTAAAAATATTTATTACCTACTTAAAAAAACTCATTACATCTTATCTTTTTTTAAATTAGACATACCTATACTTTCAAAAAGAGAAGAAAAATTGGGAGGGTTGTACTCTTTCACACGTTGGAAATACATTTAATGTGTGCCTTCATGGAAAATACCTGGATTCTCAAACATGCTTCTAACTGTTTGTCCTGATGCATTGTTTTGGTTGAAGTAACACGAAGAAAATCCCGCCTAACACAAATCTGGAGCTAGAAAAGGGAAGTATGTTTTAATAGGCTCTTCAGATAACTGTGGTCATTTTTCTCTGATACTACACCAAAACTTAACAAGTGATAGTTTCTTAAAAATTAGCTGCAGTGTAGGGGCGCCTGGGTGGGTCATTTGGTTAAGCGTCTACCTTGGGCTCAGGTCATGATCTCAGGGTCCTGGGATCGAGTCCCCCATCGGGCTCCCTGCTCAGTGGAGAGTCTGTGTGTGTCTTTCTCTCTCCCTCTGCCTCTCCCCCAGCTCATGCTCTCTCTCTCTCTCAAATAAATAAAAATCTTTTTAAAAAAATTAGCTGCAGTGTGGAATCTGAAACTGTATCAATGAACTTTTCAAGCTCTTTTACATGAAAATCCACTGGTTTATCTTACATAATAACAACAACAACAAAAAATCACTTGTTAATATGGTTGTGGATCTCACCAGAAAGGTCTGTTAAGTATTGGGAAGCTGTCAAGTTCACGGTGGTGGATATGAGTTTTCCAAAATTCTTATTTTTACTAGAAAGCTGGAATTTTCTCTTTGGTCATAAATAGTGTCAGTTGCTTTCCTTGAGGTGGCAAGCAGGCAGGCTCAACGCACTCATCTGCAATGTGTACTCTAGGTCCAAGATGTCATAAAATTTATAAAGGACATTCTTGGTGTAACTCGTTCTCTCTCTCTCTTTTTTTAAACTGTGTGCACACACCCGCCCGATTAAGTTAAAGCTTCAGCGGTTTCACCCTTCTGCTTTTGAACTATTGGCGTGCATATCAGCAGCTTGCACAAGCCAAATAATGTCTCGGGGTCGTAGTGAAAATAGCTCTGGCCTTCTCAGTCCCTTGAAAGGCTACTGATGAACTCCCTGGGGGTCCCCAGGCCATACTTTGAAAACTGCCCTGTTACAAACATAATAAGTGACCTCCAAACACCATTCAAATCACGAGTGGCAGCCCCCAATTTAGAAAGGTATTATTGCTTGTTCAGGTTATCCACATGTATTACCCATCCCAAGAACCTTAATGTAAGTGGAAGGCTATTTCCACAATCCAAATTCAATACAGAACCATGAAAAATGAAATCTAGTTACCACGTAAGGATACAAGAAACTAAACAAACTAAATTTAATATGGAACTTCTCCAAGAAACTTAAAACATACATTTTTCCTTCATTTATCCACTTGTTTCCCCACTTGCTGGGCTTTCTTGTGGGAGGCGTTTGCTCGGTATTGGAGAAATGGAGAGTCCTCTGTGGACAGGACTGTGCCCCCCCCCCCCCCGCCAGCTGGGGTTCACAGGGTGTGAAGCAACCAGAAAACAGAGCAGAGGCGCTACCGCCAAAGTTATCTAATTACAAGGTCCGGAGCCCCACCCTACAAGTAGCCTGTCCTTTGTAATCTTGGAGTCTGTTTTCTTAGCTGGACACGAGGCAAATTCCACTTAACACTGTGAGGAATGGAGGAAGTGCATGGAAAGTCTCAGCATGGCCCCCAACCCCCAGCAGGTCAATAAATGGTAGCCACTGTTAGTAGTAAGGTGCCCCCGAGGCAGTCCCGGGTCCAGAGGGGAGCAGGACACACATCGAAGTAATTATGACCCAGCATGGGAACTGATTAACTACAAAAGGCGCTGGGAGTAAAAGGAAAATCAATGGTCTGCCTGAGGGACGAAGGTGCCGTAATAAAGGAGCCACCATCTCAAAGGAAGGAGGAGCTGGCCCCATGGGAGAGAAGGAAAAGGGAAGAAGTCCATCAGACACACAGAGCAGCTAGGCACAGGGCAGCTAGCAAGGAAAACACCCTGCAACCAGCTCACTTGGAGCCTTTAAATGCCATGCTCAGGGGTGCAAACACTTGAAATTTTCTATTTTTCTAGAGACTGAAGCCTTATAAGCACTCATTGCTGACAGGTCATCTGGTGTCTTGCAGCCTTGGTGTCCTCACCTCCCATACACACGTGGTACTTACGCCTGTGACCTGTTAGCCGTCCCCTGGCCTGAGTGTGACTAGTGGAGAAAGAACAGAAAAGCTCCTCTCGGAGGCCGCGGGACGGCAGCAAGCCCCAGCAGCTGGGGGAATCCGCCCTTGCTGTTTTAAAGCCCAAATGAGGCACATACTGGGTGAAGCCATTTTGTATTCTCTCTGCCATGTATAAAATCTGGAAGCATGAAACTTTATCTTCATCCCAGCCCCAGTCTGCCTCAGGTCCTGGGCTCCAGTGGAATTTTATAGGTCTCTTGGCTTAATGGAGTGAGAACAGAAAGAGGGGCTAGTGCCCCGTGTTTTCCATCACAACTGCAGCCGTGTGTGAAGTCTCCAGCCATTGCCAGGAGTGAGCCCTGAAGCCCACAGAGGCCTCCCGTCTCTCTTGTTCTTGAGCAGGGACACCAAATGCTGCCTGGGTGCGTCTGTACCTGAGGATGGACCACAAGGCCAGCCTGAGGACAGCCCCCCAGGTGCAGTCAGCGAGCACCCACAACCAGCCGCGCTGCTCCGCACTCACGTACAGGAGGCGCCCGTTCAGACGAAACCCACCGCCACCACAGTGATGTCTTACTCACCCAGAATTTTACGAGGAAGAAGGCATTTTGAGGGCCTTTTCCAAACAGTTCCTTTAAGCCACCTTTCTTTTCAGGAAATTTGTCATAAATCTGACGAATGTCCACTGATTCGAGCAATGGGTCACTGTAAGAATGGTTGGCATGCCCAATGTGCACGAAGAGGTGTTTGTTGTACTGTAAGAAACCAACAGAAACATTCCCATTACAAACCCTTTGGTCAACCTGGGGCACATCCATCTTGAACTGGAAGGAGAGCAGTGGTCTCGAAATCCCGGACTTACACCTTGAATAGCCTAGGGTCTGTGCCTTTGAAAAAATGAAGACGTTCAGAAAAGCCATTATAGGGGCACCTGGGTGGCTTAGTTGGTTAAGCGTCTGCCTTCGGCTCAGGTCATGATCCCAGGCTCCTGGGATCGAGCCCCACATTGGGCTCCCTGCTCCTCGGGAAGCCTGCTTCTCCCTCTCCCACTCCCCCTGCTTGTGTTCCCTCTCTCGCCGTCTCTCTCTCTGTCAAATAAATAAATAAAATCTTAACAACAACAACAAAAAAGCCATTATAGCTCAGGGTTAAAACCATCATTGTCTTTTATTGACAGGGGTATCTATTTTCCCTCAAAAAGGCTTTTCGTAGACATAGTAGTAAATAACAGCTGAAGTGACCCAACTACCAAACCAAGATACTATTACCATCACACAGTTTCACCTAACTCAACTGAAAATGACAGCAACACCCTTTGAAGCCCAATATTTAACAGTTCAGCCCAATGAGGAGCATGTGTGTAGTCAACTAACGTCATCACCCAGAATGCACTTCTTGCTCGAGCTTCCCCAGCACAGCACGGATGCAATGCTCTGGGCAATGGTACCCACCTACTCCTCCAACAGGAGTAAGAGTGCCGAGCCTCTTTCTCACCAGTCCCCTTAGCAACCAGTCTAAAGCTTCTGCATAAGGGCTGGTCAGCACATGGTTGTCAGTGCAAAGTTCCGGCCAGGAGAACAGTTCATGGAGAGGATTCATGGTGCAAGGTCATATGGGGCCAGTAATCAGAGAACACAGGTCACTCATTCACAAACCAAACAACCAAAACCCAGTTAAGTCACTTAACTTACAAAAGAAACCCTTTTCTCTCCTTGCTTTGTTTTATGCCATGTTTGGTATAAAACATGTTAACTGGACCACAAAGGAGTTATCCAAACCAATGATTCTCAAAGAACATTTAAAAATCACCAATGCCTGCGGCCATCCAGACTACAGGGGAATCCCAGAAAATGAGGCATCAGTAATTTTTAATGGGCATTAAATGAATTCCAGTATGCAGCCAGGTTAGAGAACCGCTGGCCTACACTTTCTACTCCAGACCCTCCGTGCCTGCCTCTTGGGCTAAGAAAACCATAACACCAACCTAACGAGACACAAAGACCTCTGCGGCTGTCAGGGCTTTGGGGAGATCAGAACCCAACTGGGCTCATGCGAGAAATTCCGTGTCCCAAGTCACCTGGCAGGCCCTACTTACTTTTCAAAGTTTAAATGGTTATTTCCCCAACTAGAGTCCTTCAGAGTACTGACTCCATTAGAAATGAGAAGTCCCAAATAAAAGAAAGCTTGGTCAAAACTGCCTACCAGGAGAGTACTGTATCGTGGGTAAGAGTTTGGGGTCTGGACTCAGCCTGCTCGAGCACAAAACTTTGTGCCTACTGAAAATTAGCTAAGACACTGGGCAAGTGCCTCCCCTGTCTGTAAAAGCATCCTAGGGATGCTTCAGGATTTAAATGAGAAACTAAATATAGAGAGCTCACAGATTCAACGAACAGCAAACGATAAATGCTAGCTGTTATTATTGCTTTGTAAAACCCCCTTCTTTGAGCATAGTTAAAAAACATTTCTTAACTTGGTATAACCCAAAGTTTCCTAAGCTCATGTGGTCACAAAAGCCTACAGATGTATCCTGAAGAAATGCTGGTTTAAATCCATGACTTGCTACACAGGCCCTGGATCTCTGGCCACAGGGCCAACGGGCAGGAGGCTCGACACCACGTCCAAAGTCAGTGGTCCACGGTGTTGAACAGCTGGGGATGGTGGCCAGGGCCCAGCACCTTCTGGGAGATGGCTAAGCCCCTCTCCTGCTCAACATCAGGGTGATATCTCTACAAAAGCTTCAAAACCCCTAAGAGGTATCAGGTGAAATGAAGAAGGGGACCCTGTCAAGCTCTGCCATAGACCCAGCCTCTGCCCAGCGAGCTGCTAGCTTTCAGGTGAAACTGAGGGCTGGGAAGCGCTCTGCAGGGACAGAGTGTGCCTACAACGGAAGAGAATTTTTTAAAATGAAGTCAAAAGCCATTGCCAGGTTGGGGAGCTGAGATTATGGGGTAGAGTGGAATGTCTTTGACCTTTTCGTAAATGTTCCCAAATGTTGTTGTCACATCATCTTGTCAACAATAAGCAAACAAAAGCCCACAGAAATGTATGAGGCACTCCTGCTAACGAGCTTCCATTTTCATTAGTGGGCAGAGCGAGAAAAGACAACACAGCTGGGGACACAGACGCTGGTGTAAAGGCCGCCAGAGAGGCAAAGATGAATGAGCAGTGTCTTGTGTGTCTAGCCCCTCTGCTCATTCTCCACCTACCCACCATTCTGAGAGCTGAGGGCCAAAGTCCTTGTTCTTTCATTATCCGGATGACTGGCCTTCTGCAGGTCCATCCATCCCACCCTTACATTCCTAACCTCTGCTGGCAGCAAGCTCCCGGGCCCACCCAGCTCCTTCGGGGAGGTACCGTTTCTGTCCTGTCATGTGCCACTGGCACACAGTGAGTTTATGGGCAAGGAGGCAACACGAGCAGAGCTATGGGGTCACCTGTGGCCAGAATCCCAGTCTGTCTGCCGAACACCATGCTCTCAGCTCCTCCTCCTTGGCAGCCGCCCACGGGCAGGCAGAGCTGGGGACGGAGGTAAGAAGCTGAGACTTGCGGTCTTTTTTGCTGCCGACATCCAAAGGCCCCTGCAGTGTAGTGCTGGAACGCAGGACCTCTACATGTCAAGGACAGGAAGGTGAAGGGAGGGCAAAATTTACCACACTTTAACAGGGGCCTTGAAGATATGGTTGAAAACCAAAGTGCTGAGCGCAAAGCACAAAAACTCTGGAGCCAGATGAGAATCTGAAATCTCAATTTTGCTCATATGTGCAACGGGGATACGGTATGTGTAATACGCAACAGGACTGAAGATGAAAGGGAATAATGCACAGAGGGTGCTCGGCATAGGGCCCAGCATATAAGAAGTGTTGGGGAAATCGCAGCGGCTAAGATTACTATTGTTGTGGTTTATTATTACATGAGATTACTAGGTCCTGGGGGTGAAGAAAAGAACTTTCCTGCTTTAGCTACCCCTCCTGCGTAGCAAAGAAAAAATAAACACAAGTAAGCCAAGAGCTAGGAGCAAGTTGTGAAGCCATGGGACTGTTCAAATCCTTGATTCTGGCCCACTCATGACCAGCTTCTCGGGGTGCGGGTCTCTCCTGTGCCTGAAGGAAGTTTGAAAAGAGCTGTGTCCGCTCACTGCTCTGTGCCATGTGCCTTCTACATACGTGACCTCAGGTAATCGTGGCCTTGCAACGACACCGTAGGGACATTTTATTAAAGTCATTACACATGGGGGAAATGGAAGTTCAGAAATGAACAGACTAGCCTGAGGTCACACTTCCGGGAACAGTCCTGGAGTTAAGAATAAAACTTGGACCTGTCAACGCCACAGCCCGTGCATTTGCTGCAGACGTCAACCACACTGTCTCCCAGCAGAAAATGCCTCGACCCTTCTCACTCAGATCTACTTTCTACTTTTTCTGAAAGCTGATTTGAGAAAAAAGGAGGAAAAAAAAAAAAAGCTAACTAATGTTTTCAAAATTCTAAGAAGTTAAATTAGAATTCAGGATAAACAAAATGATTCGCAGATGCAGCAGACAGACTCTTCGAAGGTTTCTATTTTGAGGAAGTTACCTCTGTGCGCCAGTGGCTGAAATGAACTGAGAAGGGCAGGCTGTCTTTGCCAAAGGAAACCGGGCGCTGCCTCTCCCAGGCTGGTGACGTGAAACCAAACCCTGACTGCTGGCATCTGGGTGCCTTTATTCCTGCCAAGAGGTGACTTGGTTTCTAAGAATACAAAGGACTAAAGAAGGTATCCTGGAGACCACAGCAGTGAGACAAACAGCCCTCCCTCTCCCCTTAATTCAACCTGGGTAGGTCAGGAATCCCTCTGCCCCCAAATCCAGAAGACTGAAAAGAAGAAATCTACCTGATATGCTTGGGTTCAAGTTTTGATTAAACCCAAACTCTATAAAAAACCATTTGGTAAGGCTCTAACTACTTCCCACTCCATCAGTTCTCCTTTTAAGGGAAGAAGGCCAGGGTGAATGAATACCTTATTTCCCTCTCTCCTTCCCAAATAAATCCCATTTTCTTTTCAGCAATGGTGGTTTCCCCAAAACTAAAGGTGAAGCACAAAACCAAAAAAGGGCAATTCTATTTTATAGGCAGGAAACAAATATTTGCAAAGCAACACCAACAGCAACAACTAAAATCCCAAGTATTGGGGGCAATATAAGCAGAAACAGGGTAAATGTTAAGTCATGTATACTAAAGCCCAAGACTAAATTTCCTTGATATCCAAAATAGAGGTTAATGTCGGTTTGTTCAATTATAAAAAAAAGTCTCCTGAGGCACTCAGGAGATATGTTGATGATTAACAGATCAATGACAATAACAAAAAAGGCATTCACTCTGCTTATTTCTTTTATGGATTCCAGTAGAACGAACTGGCTTTCTTTTATGGATTCCAGTAGAACGAACTGGCATTCCTATAACACATTCTATGCTAGGCACAGGGAATCCATGACCTAATAGTACAAAATCCTCTCTTCAAAGAACCTATAGAGTTGAATGTATGGAGCTAGCTTATTGACTCTACAGTCAGAATCATATATTTGTCCATGTAAATATATGTTCTCAATGATTCCCACAGAGAAGATTGGGAATAAAGACAGTCAACATCCCCTCTTCTATACATCAGATGACTTAAGTCAGCATTCACCTGCTCTTTTTATATGAATGGCTGTATTCTCCAGCACTAAACATAGTGTTATTCGTTAACAAGGAGAACACATGTGGAACTCACTTGAAAATG